GTTTTCACCGAGATATTTGCGCTTCACGGGCGCTTTTTTACGTTGTTGAACATTTACCATTTTTGACAGTATTGTTATGATGATACAGCGTGGATAACGTGCACAATTGTGTTACGATTCAAAAACTTTATTGTTCATCAGACGAAACAAAAGCATTTCATTTTCACATGTGTGTAAGCCAAGGTGGCGAGAAAGGCAAGTAGCCTGGGCTTTTATTTTCCCAAATCGTCGAACGCCGGCTTGTATTTGAGACAGGCGTCTATATGAGACAGGCCTTTATAATTTAGTGTTGAGATGTTTTTCATTGATGCCTAGAGTCTCTAATCTCTAAAAATATCCAAATGCTCCACGTGAAACTTCCGACCTTTTACTAGTATTGTGTCAATTGATTTTGATTAATATGCGCGAGGGAGAGAGGCCAAGACAGCGCTCGTGTTTGAAGACGTGAGAGTGCGCGCGCGCGGCCGGGGCTCTCTCTCTCTCTGCTCGTTATGCGCCCTGTCAGGCGCAGCAGTCATTCTAGTCTACATCGATCAAAAAAGGCTTTCGCGGGACAAACATTTGCGTTGGCGACCGCCAAAAAGCAGACGATCGCACGGGTTTTAGAGGATTAAATACAACCTGAAACTAAAAAACAGACCCGGCCTCTATTTGAGACCGGCCTTTATTTACCCAAACCTGCAGCCACACCAGGCGTAAAAGAGACGGCGTCTATTTGGGACTCGGCTATTATTTGAAGTTTTACGGTATAAAATTAAAAAAAAATATACATAAAAAAACAATATTCGAATAGTAACTTCAGCATTCGAATAGTATTGATTTTTTTAATATTCGAATTATATTCGAATTTCGGAATTCGTTCCAACAGCCCTAACACACACACACACACACACACACACACACACACACACACACACACACATTACAGTGATGGACTTCCTGTGGGGCTTTTGAGGGAATTAAGCAGAACCAGCCTATGAGAGGTAGCACTCCAAGCAGCAAGCCATATTTCCTCTTCTGTCACAAACACTTATGCTCTTTCTTTCCCTTATATTGTGCTATGGGTGTTGAATTTTTGTCGTTATTATTATTATTATTAGGTAGTCAAGAATAGTGGCGAACTTAGTTGCACCGTTTGTACTACAGACATGAACGATACCTCACATTATGCTGCTTGTTCAGGAAAGATGTGCTGTGATAAGAGATTGGATTTTTACCTGGCTAATGATAAAGTTGACTTTTGCATTTAGAAACTGGAAAGCAACACAAATTATACAACCCTATAGAAGCATGTTAAAAACTGCTCAGAACACCTTATCAACTCCAGTACATGTTGCTAATGTGTTATTTTAGATGTTGCTTTGCAGTTTCTCAATGCAAAAGTAAAAAAAAACAACTGTTACTTAGGTGTTCTAAATACTGTCAATATGTTGATATGGAGTGGTATGTTGCTTGCTATACAGTAGATAGTGTTCTAAAACATTGAATGCATAGCAGCATACTAAAAACTACTCAGTACATTGTTATTGCTAAGTTTTTCTGCTTATTGTTGATACGTTGCTATAAAGTTGGTAAAGAGTGGTTTTCAGTATGTTAGTATACAGCAATTACCGTATACAGATAGTGTTCTAGAAACACAATGAACACCTTAGCAGACTACTTTTTACACTATGCTGTTTCAGAATTTTGCCATAGGGTTGATAAAATGTTCTTAAAAAAAAACGCACTGCATAGAAATGCCCTGACTCTACTATAACACCCATAGCACCCTAGCACTAGTCATTGGTTTGGTTGTCAATGTTAATGGCTTCATTCATGCAACACTGTTCTGCTCCTCTCAGCAGTTCCTGCTACAAGAAAAACTGTGTTTCTGTCACCGCTTTGACAAATGAAACCGAGTGGTTCTGGAAACCACAATGGCTGTTGTTTAGAGCCCTGAAGAATAGTGTTGTGTGTCTATGTGGTGTATCTGTCCATACAGCTGCGTCAGTAGTGTTTATAGAGGCTAAGATTACTGTATTGTGTGTGTGTGTGTGTGTATATATATTCTCAGCATATATATATATATATAGCGGAGCGGAGAATATATATATATATATATATATATATATATATATATATATATATATATATACACTCACCGGCCACTTTATTAGGTACCCCATGCTAGTAACGGGTTGGACCCCCTTTTGCCTTCAGAACTGCCTCAATTCTTCGTGGCATAGATTCAACAAGGTGCTGGAAGCATTCCTCAGGGAGTTTGGTCCATATTGACATGATGGCATCACACAGTTGCCGCAGATTTGTCGGCTGCACATCCATGATGCGAATCTCCCGTTCCACCACATCCCAAGGATGCTCTATTGGGTTGAGATCTGGTGACTGTGGAGGCCATTTTAGTACAGTGAACTCATTGTCATGTTCAAGAAACCAATTTGAAATGATTAGAGCTTTGTGACATGGTGGAAGTAGCCATCAGAGGATGGGTACATGGTGGCCATAAAGGGATGGACATGGTCAGAAACAATGCTCAGGTAGGCCGTGGCATTTAAACGATGCCCAATTGGCACTAAGGGGCCTAAAGTGTGCCAGGAAAACATCCCCCACACCATTACACCACCACCACCAGCCTGCACAGTGGTAACAAGGCATGATGGTTCCATGTTCTCATTCTGTTTACGCCAAATTCTGACTCTAACATCTGAATGTCTCAACAGAAATCGAGACTCATCAGACCAGGCAACATTTTTCCAGTCTTCAACTGTTCAATTTTGGTGAGCTCTTGCAAATTGTAGCCTCTTTTTCCTATTTGTAGTGGAGATGAGTGGTACCCGGTGGAGTCTTCTGCTGTTGTAGCCCATCCGCCTCAAGGTTGTGCGTGTTGTGGCTTCACAAATGCTTTGCTGCATACCTCGGTTGTAACGAGTGGTTATTTCAGTCACTGTTGCCCTTCTATCAGCTCGAACCAGTCTGGCCATTCTCCTCTGACCTCTGGCATCAACAAGGCATTTCCGCCCACAGAACTGCCGCTCACTGGATGTTTTTTCTTTTTCGGACCATTCTCTGTAAACCCTAGAGATGGTTGTGCGTGAAAATCCCAGTAGATTAGCAGTTTCTGAAATACTCAGACCAGCCCTTCTGGCACCAACAATCATGCCACGTTCAAAGTCACTCAAATCACCTTTCTTCCCCATACTGATGCTCGGTTTGAACTGCAGGAGATTGTCTTGACCATGTCTACATGCCTAAATGCACTGAGTTGCCGCCATGTGATTGGCTGCTTAGAAATTAAGTGTTAACGAGCAGTTGGACAGGTGTACCTAATAAAGTGGCCGGTGAGTGTATATATATATATATATATATATATATATATATATATATATATATATATTCTCTGCTGGCTCCGGGCACACTGGATTCTTTGTGATGAGCATCACACACATCAACATACGTTTACTCTACAGAAACACAAACACACCACTGACTTGGAACGGTTGAGAGCACTTTCCACCTCCTCAAAGAGAGCAAAACTTGTGAACCTGTCATCTCCCTCTCACTCTCATAGGTGTTTTTACACTGCTATGGTTGGCTTCTATTAAACACTTGGCAAATGTACATCCATAAACACTCTCTTGATGTCTTGGAAACAAGGAACATTTCGAAACACTTGAAAAAGATCTTTCAATGAATCGCTTCATCATCACAGGGAGATGAAGTGCCTAAAGCGCCCTCTAATGGTGCATTGCGGTGGCAGTTAAAGTTTGCCTGGAAAACCGCCCAACGTATCCCAGCAAGAGCTAGTTAACCTCTCTCCCCCCCTCAGTGGTGCCAGCCTGTTTAAATATTGGACGTCTTTGCCTACTTCAGCTCAGCCTTGGAGTCTTAGTTAGAGCATTACGTGATTAAACTGGCTAATCTCGCAGCGACCAGCTCACACACTGAAGAGTGCTTGTTTTAATGAGTCAGCATGAAGGCGGAGAACATCGTCCAAATCTCCCGTCAAAGAGCCTTTTTCCACGAGTGCCGTGGCATCACTTATAATGCTGTCATCTATGTAAATATTTACGTATTGTTATTCCACAATTTGCTGTAATTTGGGAGCACATGAGATGGGTTTTTTTTTTGTGCATATTTGTTAATGCAATAGTTCATATTTGGAGTTAGGGAGTTGTTCGGCTTTGTATCAAACTTTCCATGGTACATACATGAATCATGTCTCAAATCATGCAGTTTGAGTGAAGGTCTGCTCCCACAAACTTGCATTGAAGGAGGGAATTAGTCCTATATAAAGACCAAAATATCATAGTCTAAAAACACTCTAGCAACCACAAAGCAACATGCTCAAATCTGCTCAGTACATTGCTATGATGTGGCTTAAGTGTTCGGAGTATTTTTAATACGTTAAAGAGTGTGGGATCTTTTTACACCTAGCAATCATCTGGAGCACCATATCAACCATTTTGAATGCCCAAGCCACTCACAACTTCCCTAACATTGTGGCAACTACTTTTGCAATGCATTAGGCGAACACGTAAAAATCACGTGTGAAAAACAAAAATGTTGGGCTGAATGCTGTTGCTGTGGTCATTGAACCTTATCTGTGTGCCTGAAGCACCGTGGGAGTGCGTGGTTGTGCCTGTACATGTTGTGTAATAAGTTTTGTGTGATCTACAGACACACCAAGCCCTTCACAAGCCACCGGAGTCTGACGGAGAGAGTGGAGGACGAGTATCAGATTCCATCCTCGCATCCCGTCTGTATCACACAGCCACCCGTCTGCATCCCCTTCCGCATCCCCAACAGGTAAACACACACACGATAGTGAAACAATGACTGTTTTATTGACGTCCCGTCTGCATTTTAATGTGTTTTCTTTTCATAAAGGACTTTAGAAAACGGCTTGTCGGATCTCTCCACAGAATTAAAGAAACATAAACCTCCAGAGCATGGTGAGAGAGCACACACATATACAGAAAATACACACATAGTGTCTCTCATTTGTCATCTTCATTTTCAGCTTGAACATCTTTTAGTGTGATTGTTGGAGTTTGTGTGTGTTTGGTAGCAACGGGGACTAAAGTATACATTTTTCAATGTGGTGGCCAGTGGTTGTTGAAGTCAGTTGTGGCTGACATGGCTAACTCACTAAGAGGTTGAGGCCATTTTTAGGTCAGTATAACTCTGTTGTGTTCCTCAGGTGGGTTTGACTCTGGTTCATTGATTTCGGGTGTGGCTCACACCACACAGTGCCCCCTCCACAACAGGACGCCCTCAGACTACGACATTCTACTGCCCCCTCAAGGTAGCCGTTGGCACAGCGCCTCAATCTGATTGGTTGCCTGATTAGCAGAATGTTCAGTGGTGTTCATTTGTTGGTTTCTTCTTTTACTATTGCACTAGGTTAGAGCTGCGAACACCAATGCAGTCCTTATTCATTATTGAGTCACTAAATCTGATTATTAGCTTATATTATATGAGCTGTTTGATGTAGTTAAGGTGTGTTTGTGTGGTGCTTCTATTCAGATACTTCTTTTTACATTCATTCACCTTCACTTCCATAAATTTTTGATGTTAATATAATTTTATTATGATTTTAGCTTGTTTGTTTTTATATAGACAGATTCACGAAGACATCAATTTGCCTTTGTTTAATTCATAGTCATACAGTACTACTGTCATAAACTTACGGGAATACAATTGCTTGGTAACTAAAATCCATTCTTTTGGCCATATAATTAAAACCATAATGCAGTTTCCCAAAATAAAGACTTGTTTCTCAAAAATATAAACTCTATTTCTGTTTCAAGTAAGGTAAGGGGTTGGTAATTATCCATGTCTACAATTATTTGATCAAAAATACAGTGTTGTGAAATTACTACAATTTAAAATATACTTTTTCTTTTTTAATATATTTTAAAATGTAATTTATTCCTATGTTAGCAAAGCTGAATTTTCAGCATTATTACTCCAGTCTTCAGAAATCCTTCTAATATGCTGATTTGCTGCTCAAGAAACCATTTTTTTTCAGAATTCTTTGATAAATAGAAAGTTAAAAAAACAACATTTATTTAATGTAGAAATCTTTTGCATCAGTGTAAACATATTTACTAAATAAACTTATTTCATTTAATGCATCCTTGCTGTATTTTTTCAAAACGAACAACAAAAATTCAGAACGCGTTCAATTCGTGGCTGAATGATATTTTAGCTCCATCTGTTGGTGAGAAGAGGAACTGCTGAGGCATGTAGAAAGACTCGACCACTCTCTCTTTCTCTCGGTTCTCCCAGCGTCTCCAATGGAAGACCCGTTCAACTCTCTTCCTCCGTCCCAGCCTCCTCCTCCTCCCCCCATCAGAAACAGTTTCACAGAACCCTCGTCCTCCTCACCCTACCCCAGACCTGCCCGCCCCTCGTCTGGACACGACCACTTTCTGCTCAGCCCAGGTGAGGCCAAATCCCACACATCTGTGACTATTAATGTAGTATAAATGTCAAATACTGCTGTATTTGGGGTTGTATTGGTGTCTAATTATCAGTGTGATTCACAGACACGTTCATAGACACATTGATTAACTCGGCTCCTAATCCCCCCGTGCGGAGACTAACCGGAGACAACATGAAGAAGCCGTTCAGGGCTCCTCAAGACTACGATCAACTGCCGCCCACCTCAGGTACTACTCATTGTATAAGGGCTGTTATAAATCAAATAGTTTTGGTCTGGGATGCTGATTGGTCAATACAGAGTTTAAAGGAATAGTTCACTTCAAAATGAAAATGCTGTCATCATTTACTCACCCCTAAGTCGTTCCAAACCTGTATGAATTTCTTTCTTCTGCTGAACAGTTGATGTACCCCATTGACTTCCATAGTATTTGTTTTCCTATTATGGAAGTCAATGGAGTCCATCAACTGTCTGTTTACTGACATTCTTCAAAATATCTTCCTTTGTGTTCAGCAGAAGAAAGGAAATCATACAGGTTTGAATGACATTTCAGTGACAGTTTGTGTCCTTAATATTTTTTTATTTATATTAATACTGTATGCTACTGTTCAAAAGTTTTGGTCAATTTTTAAAGATATTTTTTATTTAGCAAGGATGCATTAAATTGACCAAAAGTGACAATAAAGACATTTATAATATTACAAAACTTTCTATTTTAAATAAATGTTTTTTTAAAAACTGTATTCATCAAAGAATTCTTAAAAAAAAAAAAAAAACTATCATGGTATATCACATATAAACAAACCAGCTTTGCCATTACAGGCAAATAAATACATCAATTATATAAAAATAAAATGCATAAAAAATACAAATAAATGCATAAATTACATTTTAAAACTTATTCAAACAAAATACAGACACAGAAATTTGTTCTTTTAAATTGTTATATTTCACATCAACATTACTGTTTTTACTGTATTCTTGGTCAAATAAATGCAACCTTGGTGAGCATATGAGACTTATTTGAAAAACAAATAAAAATACACTGATTTTATGATGTATTGTTGTTATATTCACAATAAGGCTCAACCTTTCATACCCTGTAGTTTAATATTATGAGCTGGAAAAAAAATGAAACAACATTGCTAACACTTCCAGAATGATCCAAAAACATACCTGTAATTCTTGATAAAACAGCTGTGAGCACTGTCTGTTGTTTTGAATACATAATAGCTTTGCAGGTTTATTAAATGAAGCCATTAGCCATCGAGATGAATGTGCTCAATGAATTATTAATTATTAGCCTGTAATGGGTTTTTAATGCGTTCCTAGTCTTTTTAGTCGGCCTGCTACCATCCACTCTCAATGGCCCATTTTGACTAAACACTCTTTGTTTCCTGTTTACAGTGGCCGTAGATTGCTTCAGGGCACCTGAGAGACCTCCTAAACCACTTCCCAGGATCTTCCCGCCAGACATCCACAGAAGACCGCACGAATCGTCCCGGGAGAATGTAGACGCCAAGATCGCCAAGCTGATGGGCGAGGGCTACTCATTCGAAGATGTGAAACGAGCGCTGATGATCGCGCAGAACAAAGTGGACGTGGCACGGAACATTTTGCGGGAGTTTGCGCTAGTCGCCCCCAGGCAGGGCCCGTAACCCACGCTGATAAAATTTCAAACTACGACTGACTTTTGAGTGTACAAACCGCAGGCTGTCTTCCGCTTGCTTTCGTTTAGCGCACCCGGCAAACAAGACGAAAATGTGCTTTTTTCGCCAAAAGGATTGTTGCGTTTGTAACGACAGGATCCTATGAAAAAAAAAGCCTTGTGTTTACAGTGACGTGGCTTATCTGCAGTACTCAGGTCATCGTCATTACAGCTCGGGATGTTCAAGAGTGGAATTGAAATCGAATTTTTCATATTTGGAGGTGTCCATCCACATTTCAGGGTGGGTTTGCTGCATCCTTCAAATCAGTGACGTTTGTATTTCTCTGGACGGAAACACACACATATACACGCGCGTTCCTGGCCTCTTGGGTATCATGAATTTCACAGTAATGGCTCTCGGTGTGACCATGTCTCCTTTATCTCATCATTTCGCAGTGAACAAGACAAACCAGATCAGATCGTTTGAGGCAGAAAGAGACGGATTTCGAATATCAGGTTCACGGTTCTCTTTGTCAGTTTTTTTAGGTTAGCTGCTTTTTACCAACTCTTAACGGTCGCTTTCGACATCTGAGTGCATTCCAGCGTTAGCAAGCAAGGGCTAATATGGTTGTTTCATTTTCTGTAAAGAGAAGAGCCTGTCAACTCGTGAATAAAACAAACCCGAATGTCTGCATCGGTCCCTTGTTTTAGATTCAGTGCAGTGCCGGAGGAAGCCACCTTGCTCACTTGCACTGACGCCATATGCAAAAAAAACAAGAACTGGACATGCACCGTTTGTATTAGCACCCAGAAAACACACAGATTATCATGTACGAGTCATTTTAATGGCGTCAAATTCAATTTGAGGTAATAGTGATGCCCGCAAACTGAAGATTTAAAGCGACACTCCAGCGACGACTTCATTCAAGGCCTTTTGGGAATTCTGGGAATGGAAGCTGGCCTGCTTTGACTCATCCCCACTGGCTGTCATTCCTCCCTATCAGGTTTTCGCTTGAACTTGAAACTTCATTTTTGCACTTGTCTCTATCTCCATCTTACACTTGAAAGTCTGAGAACTGAGTGGACCCTCTAGCGGTAGAGGACATGACCTCCGACAGGTCTGCGGGGGGAACGGTTTCTGTTCATTTCCCCTCTTCTTTTTACGAGAGATTTTAGTTTGTTGGAAAATGCCTTGTGTATCATTTAAAACCAGTGATGTGTGCAATTAATTTATACTTTGTTAAAAGTTTTCTGAGATTATTTTCATCTTTCAGTGATGTATGTAACCCGTGATCTGTTCTTGTGGGAAAAAATGTTTTATAAAAGCCAGTATTAACATCTGCTATATGTGATTTCTTTTTTAAATCATTGCGCATGAAAAAGAAAAAAATCCAGAAATTTTCTTCAAAATGTACACTTTTATTGTCAACAAAAGTACAAAAACAAAAGTCAGTATTTACAATACTTTATGGCCTTCTTATGCGGTTACCCTCTTTGGTTTCACTGCTGACCTGATGGTTCAAAATATGCGAGACGTTTACGCTAAACATGAACGCTCAGAACACGCATGTGGAGATGAAACAAAAAGTGAAAGCTGAGTTTCTTCTAAATATGCGTGACAAAGTGAGAGTATAGTTTAAATAAGAAGGGTCTTTTTAGTGACTAAGCAGAAGCACAGCTAACCTTGCATTTCTCACACTTTATAAATAGCCAAACACAAGCAAGACATTCAAACATATTTACAGCCTCTTTAGACCACGATGAACGGAACAATGCTTCAACCCATCGCTAAAGACTACAGTGTCGGACATCAACCTGACAAACATCGTAGAGACAGAAAACGAGGTAAAAAACTAAAAAGATGCAGTTTTTGTAGTCTGAGGGAAGTGCAAAACTGAAAGGCTATACAGTGAGGCTTCACATTTATAAACTGACTGAAGTTTGCCTTCCAATACTGACTCTTTCTGTTAAGGCAGAATAAAGGGGCTATTCTTTTATATTTACTTTCTACCAAAAAAATAAAGGCTCTGCATGCAAGGTCGCCACCACCCAGTCTGATACCGAGAGCGGATGTTTGCTTGTTTATTTATGCTATATGCGAGTCACGTCAATGTCACTACGTTAAACTCTAGCGGGCTTTGTTCACAGCCCTACAACTATGACATCATGCAATGCAACCTGAAGGCCACTGGGTGTAGCAGGACATTTCCCTACACTACGCTAATTTTCTAAACCCGTTTTCACTACTTAGCCACTTCAAACTAGACGAAATAACATGAATGTCACAGGGCAGTGTCGTAAAGAGGTACCAATAAATAAAACATGAGCAAACAGAGGTGTAACAGCAGTGAAGTCATCATTCTTCCAGCATCCGACCGCGATCTTAGGAGTTTTTGATGAGGGACTGTGCAATATCAATATGTAGTCCCACAATCCTTTTTTTTTTTTTTTTTTTTTTTTTAATAATCCAAACGCTAAGCAGAGTGAACGTACCCCCCCTGACTTATTTACACAGACCTAAAAAGTGTACAGTGAATTTACAATTTCTTTTTTTTACTACAGGGGGAGCAAAACAGCTGTGCCCACCACATCAGCAATGCGCATGAAACGAGAACATTCACTGGGAACACAAAAAGAAAAAAGTCAGAATCGATCAAAAGTAAATGCAGTCCTCAGTGCAGACTAAATTTACAACACAAGGGGTTTCTCTTTTACTCTCTTGGATCGTGGTGGGGGATTTTCTTTTCTTTCTTTCTTTTTTAGGAAACTGTTCGCTTAGAGTAGGAAATATTCTGGAAACATTCTGCGATGCATGACGCACACGAGCAGCCTGAAGGAGACGTCGTCGTCCAATCAGATGCCTGGAATTAGATGATTGAAGTGTGTAGTACTGCACATTCAGTGTGACAAGGCCTCTTTCCTGGTTCATACCTGACATGATACACAAAAACAAAGAATGTGATTTCAAGGATGAGAAGAAAAGACTATGAATGTAGCTTGACATTAAAATATTGAGTTGGCATGCTCAATATTGCACTTCTTTCAAAGCCAAAGACAAGGTTTTTGCCAGCTGGCTGGTACCTTTATTATTAGCTACTGTAATATACTATTATTTACATCATTTAAGAATAGTGGTTTAAAACCTCGCTGATGAAAATGATACACGTGATTCAAATGAAAGACATCCATAACTGTCTAGGAAAGAAAACATCTGTAATGACTACACATATTTTAACATCTATTGCCTCAGTGGAAAACCTATCAGTATTTCCCTCCTCCCGAAGCCTCCATGCGGTGACATAAATGAAAGATTCCTCACATTAAGCCAGCAAAATGAGAATATGAGTTTCAAAACGCTTACAATGTTTCTCACCTGTTTGTGAGAAGTGGAAACCGACTCAAGTTGTATATGATATTGTGAGTGACAATAACCTGCAATATTTTTTGCTAATAATATATATACACACACTGTATATGTACATTTATGTGTTGCCAATATTACTGGCTAGTTTTTTTTCTAATTATTTTTTAAAATATGAATAATTCCTATACATTTAATTGAAAATGTATTACATTTCAAAGATAGATTTTTTTATATGTATTAAATTCTATACATTATATTCATTTTAAATATCATGCAAAAACAAAAAAAGTGTTGTGGCCAGTAAAAAATATTATTGCCAGTAAGTTTTCTTAATTCGCCCACTATTAGCAGGTGTGAATTTTACACTGGGCCCTGAGCTTTGAAAAACCTTCTCACCTTCTTCGTTCCTTTTGACGCATCTCCCTTCTTTTAGACATCAGCTTTATGATTGTTCTCCTCCAGTTTCTTACTCTCCTCTGAAGTGCCTGCCTCCTTCTCTCCGGTCTTCCAGCTGCCTTGTCTAACAGGACAATTTTACCTTGATTAATCTTTCAGCACATTTCAAACTGAGCTCTGTCTGCGGCTAGACCATTTCTGGCTCGCTCGCTTCTCTTGTCAATCTCAACAAATCATGCTGATGTATAACAGCAGATACTCTGACTTCTACTGCAATCATACGTACTTCATTCGATGTACAGGTTGTAATTTAAACATTGAAGATGATTTAGGGCTGCGATATACTCTGTTTTTCCATACTTCACTTGTTTTTGCGATGTAGCGTTGCATCTTACCTTGTTTTCTTGATATAGAGCCAGTAGATGAGTCCCACCAGAGCAGCGGCTAGGAAGAGTCCAACCACAACACCCACTATCACTTTGGCCTGCTCCGCGCTATCTTCATTTTTTTCTAGGGGCAATGGACACATAAACACTTTATGACCTCCTCTAAAGCATTATGATTCTTTAGGGAAAGGCAATCCTTGGAAATGAAAAAAATGATTGACAGAATCCCACTACTTGAGAAAAATTGCAGCTGGGAATATTTCAAGATGACATATTTCTGCAGGTATGACAGCTAAAAGAAACGAAGTTTGCATGATGTCAGGATGCTTGACACCCTCCGACTCATGATCTTAAATTCTAATTTATTTTAAGTGAAATTCAAGGGAATGAAATCAGATTATCTTACCTGGTTTGGCCTTGTCCTCCTCAAATACTGAAATCAGATATAAAATTAAATTAACTTTGGGTGCAAACTGGCATTTAAAACAAATTTGGCAGTAAAAAGCCACCACCCAACTGTGGTTGAGATGCAAAACTGATTTAAATCAAGAGTAACTCAAAAATTGTCCAATCAGATTCTAGTAAGGAAGATGACCACAAGCATGCGATAGTGGTCGGAAAGAGAGGAAGAGGAGGAAAAGAGATAGCAGTCCAAGCACCCTGACACAAACAAAATCCGAGCCAAAGCGATATCCAAGAGAGAAAGAGAGCGTTTCATGCCCCGTGAGTGAACAACAGGACCTGAGAGAGAGCAGCCAGCCCTGTCTTTCCAGTGTTCACACCAGGACACTAATAATAGTGAAATAGTCCACTAAATCACCCTGCATTTGAATGGTGCAACAGGCAAAACTGTGTGAAACATGCCAGTTTTCACAGATCACCTCACATGCACATAAAATATTATGTTAGATATGGCATCTACTTATCAGGGCTGTCAAACTAGTCTATGCCATAAAAAACAAAAACATGAACAAAATACATGTCATAAATGCTAAATCTGTCATTAACAGCTAAATTATTTAGTATGTTTAATCTATTTCTGTTGGTCAAACAGACTATTTTAGTGTTTTTGTACTACTGTAGAAGTGTGTCAGATCCCAAACCACTATAAGGTCTTATTAACCATCTTAAGC